CTTGATTTCCTTTTCTAGTCTCCTCAAGTCATAACTTGGTGGATGCCTGACAAACTTAATTCCTGGTTAAGCTAGACTCCTTTTGTTCACCTAATTAATATGAATGACTGTTGTTCCCAGCCTGGTCCTGAAATTCTTTTTTGTTATGGTCCTTGTCAAGATTCCCAAATTCCTCAGTTTTTTTAATCCTCTTTTTATCTTGACCGGAGTGGCATTTTGTATTTTCCCATTCTGAAATTTATTTTGTCTCTCCCTCTAATAAATGAGCTTCTTGATTCTGCTTATAGGCAGAATACAGTGGCTACTCTTATTTTTGTCAGTTGAATGGGCCCTACTAACACAATTTATTTTTTATTTAAATGCTTTAGTTTCTTTTATTTTGATTATTGGGTTCATCTTCACTCTACTCATTTCATGATAGATTTTTATCTATTTTTATAAGAAAATTGAAAAAAAAAGAAGACATTTGTACATATTGTAAAATTTTTACATCATGAGTGTTTTAGTAGGATTCCTGTGAATATGCAGTATTGTGGTTTGGTTTGGTTTGATTTATCAACCTCAATGGGTTATTTACTGCCAACAAGATTTTTATTGCTGGTAATATTTTTTTTCAAAAAGTATTTGTGGTAATATTTTTCCAAAAATGGCAATATTTGTTTTTCAAAAATGTATTGCTGGTAGTATTTTTTCCAAAAAAATATTGTTGGTAATAATGTATTCCTGGCAATAATTTAAAAAAAAAAATGTATTGCTGCTATTAAAACCTATTTTTATACATTTAACTATTTACCCATAGCTGGGATACTAACAGGTGCTACCACCCCGGGTCAGGCTGGATCTGGGAACACCAACAATTAAGAGGTGGCTCCATTCTCCTCAAAACCTCTTGATCAGAAGCCTTGCTGTGAGATGTAGTTTATCGTCTTACTCAGGTTGAGAAGTATTGTGGTATATATTGGATTGAATGGAGAAGGATGAGTTCATATGGCAATTGAATCAATTGTTAGAGTGAATGGGTCATGAATCAGATTAGATAGGTGTAGGACAGTCAATGAAGTCCAACCTTTTCCCACTTTCCCATCAGGCTTGTGCCACAAAACAATATCCAATTGTTTAGATAGACATTTCTAATAGGATTGAAACCAAAACCTTTCCTAAAAGATATACTCCTTTCCCAAGCCGACATACATGACTATAAAAATTAAAAGAAAATAGCTAAATTCAAAACTTTCTATTATTTAAATAATAAATTTACATAAATTAATCTCAAACTAAAATGATATAAATAATAATTAAATTGTAAAGAAAAAAATTCAGAAACATTTACTCACATTCGTTTATTAGACTTTAAATTACATCACTTAGCATCCTCTAAGATTGGGGTAATCCCCACATTATAAATGAAATTTTTATATATGAAATTTTATTACATTATATGTAAGTGCTTAAATCATTTTTTCCCTTTGCAGAAAATGCACTGTAGTAAAATTGTTCTTTATGAAATGGAATATTATAACAATTTGTATGTTTAAAAGTGATGAAACTATAAACTATCAGTCTTGTTGCAGAGGCAGAAATAAGTCACCTGGGAGGAAAAATCTTGTTGTTGTTGTTGTGGCTGTTGTTACTGCTGTGGAGGTTAATTATTTCTCCACCTCAGTAAATGTAAATCCAAGCATCAAACAAGAGAAGACATTGAGTAGGGGGTAAATAAATGTATAATTTATTCACATAAAAAGATTGATAACTGTTGCTGTTGTTAAGACAACAGGGAAAGAGAGTGGTGAAATTAGAAGCAAATAGACACTTGGTGGTGGTGGTGGTGGTGGTGGCACCTGCTATGTTGTCATTGTCTCTCAGGATGTCAATGTTGAGATCAAACTCTAATCTGTATATGGTCGGTTTGAAATGGGTATATATAGTTTTCAGTCGGCTTGAAATTAAGGTTTAGGTATTTGAGCAGGAGGGGCTCTGATGGGCCATAATATATTATTAATTTTGTTTTGGTTTATGCTAGATGTATGTGTTGAGCCAATGTGCAGAAAACATTTATGCAGTCTGTTTTGGGTTGTTGAGTGGTGAACATCCAGTTTGTGTTGAATATGTAGGAGGTACAACAATCTTTTCAAAAGAAAGCTTATGAAATATGTTATTTTATTTAATTTACAAAATCTTACAGCTTTCATAAAAATTTCACTAAAATAGTGTGTTTAGCCCACAGTTATTCTGCTACCACTTTCTTTCAATGTCAATTATTGTACAAAATAAACACCAAAGTGGATCACACAAGCCTTGATATTTCTCTGACTCCTGATTGGTCAATTAATGCCAATATCATACTTTTGTCTATGTCCGCACAGTTAAAATTAATTTACTGCCAAAAATCTGTCTATGTGTTTCAAGCCTGACATAGAACATAAATACTTAGTGACATCTTCAATTCTTCCTCTTTCCTCTGTTTTTCTCAGAACCACAACAATGTAGTTGAGTGAAGAGTCTGCATCCATCCCTTATGGGAAAACGCTATGACACACATGTTCACATGTACATACAAACATTGCACATCTCTTAACTCATCTTATTCACTTCTTCAACTACAGAAACTTATCAACAGTGAGCTTTGCAGCATCAAACAATTTGCCAAACAAATTCACACCATTCAAGTCTTTGAAGTTTCTAAGTTAGATTTCTTAACATAATCCCAAGTTTTGAATTCACTCACTCACCAACAAACTACACTTCAACTTTAACATCTCTGATTTTTATTGAGACAACAAGAATTCTACTCAAAGAACACACAGTTTGCCAAACAAACATTTTATTCAAAAAGCAACTTTGAACATAACCTAACACAAACTTACTTCGAGTCAACTATCTTACAGCCAAAAGATTCTTAATATTTAATGCACAATTTACTCAAAAGTTATAAGCTTAAAAGTCTATCTTTTAGACACAAAATTCAACTTTTGATATGAACTAACATTTCATTTACCAATTCCGATTACAACAAACTTTCCAGGAAGAACACAACTTACTTTCTTCAAAAGATTTTACTCATTTGTTGAATCAATTTTATTCACATAATATTTAAACTTCCATCTTTTTATTTATTTCATTATCAAAAAATATATATTCAATATTCAACAGGTAAAGGGAGACAACACTTACCCAATCTCCAATATCAAACTATGACAGAAATTTACGATATAAAATATTATTTAATCTGAACTTATTAATTTCTTGAAATTCCTTTTACTGACAGGAACACTGAATAAAATCTCTCCCTGCATGTATTTGTTATATAAATGCTTTATTCTTGTTTTTCTAAAAAGAAATATTGTTTGTTTTATATTTTGTCATTGATGACCTTGTGCCATACGCAAAATTAAATGTTTGTAGAAAGTTTATTTTCATGCAGCCAACACAAATAATACCTTCTGATATATACATATTTTTCCTAATAACCTACTTCTATGCAACAGATCTATGTTTACATATTATGTTAAAAATGTCTCAAAAACAAATGAAATGTTATGATTCATTTTAAAAGTTATTTCAATGCAGTAAATTTTATGCACACACACAAAGATATATAAGTTTAGTTAAATACCAACTTTGTTCCTTGTTAATAATTTCATTCATTTATTTTTTGATGTTCCTGATTATTTTCTTGATTTCTGCTTCATATTTCAAAATATATTTTCCTTGAGTACTTTTGGCTAGCATGAGCCATCATCAAAGACTTCTGTCTTTTTTTTCTAGCTAAAAGTAATCAAACATAGAAAAATATATTTTCAAATATGAACCCGAAATCAAGAAAATAACCAAGAACATCGAAAACATAAATAAAAATATAATTAATAAGGACCTTTCATTGACCTTTAACCAATTTTTATAAATTAAAAATTGCTGCCCAAATACATCCAATATATGTGTATGTTTCATTGAATGTTGTGGCCAAATTTTTTTTGTTTTTCTCATGTTCTTACTGTTTTTTCTTTTATGAGGACTAAGAGTGGAGAACACATTTCTACACTATCTTAGTCTTCATAAATATATATATATATATATATATATATATATATATATATATATATATATATATATATATATATATATATATATATGCAAGGGTGCTTTGCAAGCTTGTCTTGTAGACCATTACTAGAGTAGTGTGTATAATCCTTACTGGGTACTCTTCTTTTGTGGTCTTAGTAAATTTAAAAACATTAAATTCATTCATTTTTGAGAATATACAAAATATTTGCAATTTTTATATTTTCCAATTTATTCACTTAATTATTATAAATTACTATTTACAATTCTTATAATTATTAGTTTTTTCAGTTTTTTTTTTTTTTTATCAGAACAATGGCATTCTGTGAAATTGTTCTCTGCTGAAACCAAAAGAAAATGTTGCAGAAAAATAAAAACGTTCATATAAATCGCTTACCAAATTAAGTAGAAAACTAAAACAATTTTATAGAACTTCATGTTTTGTTTGTCAAAAAATAAATTTAAAAATAAATGGTCAATAATTATCTATTTCATTTTTTTTCAAAACCGCAGCTATTTGAATATTCACCCAACATGTATTTAATTACAATCAGCAAAAGCCCCAGTGAGTAACTAAATTCAAGAAACAGTTGTTAAATTTTTATTTACAATCTAATTATCCAAATTTATAAACAAAATTCTAATTTCTATTCTATTTAGTACGTAACTAAAAAGTTCCTATCACTGCTTGATAATAATAAGTATTTAAGTAAGTAACGTTCCTATAGTTTTGGCAAAATAATTCTGAAGTTTAAATGGAAAACAGAAGCAAAATAAATATAATGGTAAATTTGGATGATTTCAGTTTTCTATTGAAAACAGTTGCAAATGATATAATGATTATAAAACAAATACCTTTTTATGTTTCTTTAATATAGTTTAAAATGCGAAACTAAACGTGTAACTTTTTGTGATTGTGGTGTCACAAGATGGCGTGCACGATGGAGGTAGACAATCCATGCGCCAGTACCAGTGCCGGGGCTGATTTAGAATTTGAAAATGGAATGGATGGTAATGTCATTGCAGCAGCTGGAACAGCTGGTAGTGTGTCTGTATCTCTTCATCCCCTGGTCATCATGAACATCTCCGAACACTGGACCCGGGTACGGGCACAGGAGGGCAAACCAATGCAGGGTCAGTTTTTTTTCCCCTAATCAAACCACTAGTCGTCTCCTCCTTGTCATATGCTGAGATGAAAATAATAATAATAATAGTTATAATTATTATTGTTGTTATTATCATCATCATCTTAGATTAGTTATTGTTTTAACTAAATTTTATTATTAATACACAACCATTACCTTGGTTTATTGTAACATCTAGCTATGTAAAACAAGTATAAACACTAACGGTGTTACTGCCCCGTTGTTTTCTAAATTAGATTTTTTTTTATATTGTTTATTTTTTTTTACCACTCTTGTAATTTTTTTTAATGAATCTGCTGAATTTGATAAAACAAAATGGTATATATAAGTAAACTGAGAAACTCTTCTTTCATCTTTTTTGTTTGTTTTGTTTTTTAAAAAAATATGTTTACTGATTTCTGACAGCGAAAATATTTTATTTTTGTGATGGATATTTTAATTAATTTGTCTTATTAATTTCTAAGAATTATCAATTGTACTCTTACTTTGTCATTAAATTGCTATCTCATGCTTTAAAGTCGTCTGCCTCCGCATGCTAAGATGATCAGAGAAACTTATCAAGTGAATTGTGTGATCAAGTTTTTGGATAACGTAAAGTCATAAAACATCTTTCTTTATTCTTACAAAAATATTTTTAGACCTATTTCCGTTTGTGATAAATGTCATTTTTGAAAGCAAATACATAAAGATATTCGTTCAGTTTAAGTCTCATTTGTATTTGTCAGTTCAGCATATAAACAGCAAAACTGATTATTACTGTTAGTTATCAATGGCTAAAGAAGACAAACTTGACTTCGTTATTTTTACAAAGCAAATATTTGGCACCAGTACCACTATTCATTAAATAAATTCAATGTACTTTAAGAGAAAATAAAGTCAACGTCACTAAATAAAATGAAATAAAAGTTACACTTTTAAAAAACCTTTGCTAAATAAGTAATAATAAATGTGAAAATGTGTTTTGTTCTCGTGGTAAGTTATCAATTTTCACTTTCAGTTAACTTTTTAGTTATTTACTTATTTTTTAATTCATCATGAAGAAATGATACTTTTTGTCACAAATCAGTTTTTTTAGTAATATTACTCAACAGCTCTAGTAGTTATATCACAATCTTTTTTTATATTTATTTATATTGTGAATAATGTTTCATTCTACATTTAAAAATATTATTTTGATGTTATTAAGAATAAAAGTAACTGATATACCAAATGACATATCTCTCGCTATATAATTTATTTTTACAATTGGTTGTAAATTTCAGAAAAGGCCTTCTCTTTTAATTTATTTTAAAACAAATATTGTTATCCAATCAATCAATAGTGATCTTGAATGTAAGATTGCTTTAACTTTCGATCTTGGTTGATAAAACAAACAAAAAATGTACCCCTCTTCCATAAGATGCATTGACTCGTTTCATATTCCACTTTATTTATTTATTTATACAATACACTTAGGTGTATACAAAAAACACATAATGTGAACAGGAGTTGTCTTACTAACTTTTTGGTAGTGTAGCATAATTTCCAGTAAATATTTTAGTGCTATATTGGATATAAGCTGAAGTACTTGTATTTTGAGGCTTTACTTTCAAATTAAACTTACATTGTAGTGTTGTTTTCATCTCCATTGTCATATTCACAATGTTTCGGCTGTTGTATGCTCCGGCCTTCTTCAAGTGATATACGTTGGAATTAATGGCCCAATGGATAAAAACATCGGTTGAAATAATGACTCAGTTGTCAGTTCAATACCTGGCCACAGCAGAGGTGAACAAAAACTTGGAGAGTTGAGTTACTAAATGGAATAAATTAAACTGGGATATCCAGAAAAGGCATGGCATGTGGAATTAGAACAATCTACCCTTGTGGATTGAATAAAGAATTTGGTTCAAAATTCTAACGTATATCACCTGAAGAAGGCCAGAGCATACAATGACCAAAATGTGAATATGACAATAAAGATGAGGACAACAGTCTGAACAATGTAAATAGTGTAAATGTAGGCTTTTTCTCTTGTTTTCCACATACCACATCTTTTTGCATACAAGGCTATCATGAAAAACCAAATCCATATATTCTTTCTCAATGTCATGTTTCTCTCCTATACTGGCATGGCTTGGCAACATGTTTTGATCCCTTTATGTGCTTGTAGAATAATGCATTATGAAATATTTTGAGGGATCTCTTAAAGGAATTCTTGGGATTTCAGTTTTTATTGTTTAAGACATGTTTGTTATGAAGAAAAGTAATATTAAAATATATAGTTCTTGTGTATATATTCTTTCATGTTCTGTGATATTAGTGTTTACTGTTCTATACACTATAAATTTTTGTTGTGGGATTATAAAAATATGCTGACAGTAGTTTGTACATCTAGCTGTAAATTTTGATGATGTATAAAAGAAATGTCATTAATTTTTTGTCATGTCATTTAATCCAAGAGAAATAGTATTAGCTGGAAATCATTATTAATAATTGATAATATAGAAACTATTGAATTGAAACAAAAATGGCCATCATGAAACACAAACTTTAAAACATAACTTTGTTCAAATACAACTTTTTGTCAAAATTAATACCATGAGAACTGACAAACTGCTGGAAGGCATTTTTGACTTGGTTCATATTGGTGTACACCTGCTAGCCCAGAAAAAATGGTAATCAATAGAGAACAGATTTGGTAAATAGGGAAGATGGGACTTTGATGCTTAACTAAGTCAATTTTTGCCAGGTGGTTTGTGAAGTATAAGGTCATGTGTTATCCTGCAGTAGGAAACACCCCTTTCAATTCACTCTGATCAAAATGTTTGTAACTTTTGATGTGTCAGTTCCAAATCAAGACAGTAGAATTCTACCATGATAGTTGAACCAGGTTGCAGAAAGCTGTTATGGAATAATCCATTACAGCACAATCAAAATGGTCAGGAGGATCTTTTTGTGGTGAAGATTAGTATTTGGGGAAGGTTAATAGAGGAACAAATTTGTCAGTCTTCAAAGAAGTTATGTTTCTGATTATCATGCAAAAGTGCCTTTTTATCAGCAGTGAGCTCTTAGTCAAGAAAACGTAATTTTTGCAGCATGTATCAAACTGTGCAAGCTGCCAATCATCAGTCAAATCCTGATGCACCCCTTTTTGGATTTTCTTCACATTACCAGTTTCTGCTAGATATCTTCTGACTGTTGTATGATCTGTCCCTAGCTATATTCTTAAAACTCAAATGCTTATTTCTGGATGAGCTTTCACAGTTACCGTCAATTCTTCATTGTTGAGAGATGACTTGTAACTATGACAAGATTCATCTTCGATATCAAAATCATCAGAAGAGAACTCCAGGTCCCAAGCACTCTGTTTATATTGCAGATAGCTTTGGCTGTGCAATGGCTAATTTTTAAATCGTGTAGCGCAGTGACACAAAAATTGCTGTTATTATTCATCTTTGCTTTGACAACGTATAAAAAAAAAATAAAAGTAATTTAAGAATTCATAAAACACCCAAAAGAGATGTAGTGAATTAAAAATATAATAAATGGATGTACATATAAACAGCAAGGGGTAATGTAGTTAGAAAAAACAAAATCACATTAATGCAACTTAAAAACAGCCATTTATTTTGTCCCCAACCAAATAGAAGCAATCATTTGTTTATGTGTGATTAATTTTGAAGTTTTGATAATGTGTAGAAAGTCCTTGAATGAATACAGAAAAATTTTGTCATAAAATAATCTTTGTTTCCTGAGCAAGTTTTTGTATGTATTTGTTGTTGAAGCCTAAATTGATTATCCCAAATCCTTTTTAACTGAAAATTATAATACTTTCTTTTTTTTCCGCCATTTCCAGTTCTTGGAGCTCTGATTGGTCAACAGAAAGATAGGAACCTAGAAGTGATGAACTCTTTTGAGTTGGCATTTGATAGAGTGAATAGAGACATTGTCATTAACATGGACTATTACAAAACTAAAGAAGAACAATGTAAGTGATTGCTACTTGGATTTTACAACAAATGAAAAAATGCTTTCACTGTGTGGTACCAGCATTTTGGTCAGACATTTCTGCTCTCCTCTGACATTTTTTTTATCAGTTACAACTTATTTTTATTTTGCTTTATAACTTGTTTTTCAGTTTTATTGCTTGTTTGTTAAAGTTACCATTTTCATTGATGCTTTTGTTTGATTTCTTGACTTTTTCAGAAATGCATAACTGATTATGAATTTTAATCTTAAAAACCAACAAGAACATTTTGGTTTAGTAAGTCAAGTGATACAGCATTAATAATTTATCCACTCAATTTATAAGATGAATCTGTATTAAGTATGTAACGTAGCTAATATCTTTGTTTAATAATTTATATTCCTTTTTCCAGTGCATGGAACCTTATTTTTGCTTTTAGACACTCATCTACACAATAAGGTTTTGTTAATTGGTTGGCAATAGTCCATCCTCTTGAATTTTTTATTGCTTAAAAATGTTATTTTTAGTGGATACTTATGTTTGAGTAGATGCCCTGCTTTTTTTTCTTTTTTTTTTTCCTCTTTTTAAACAGTGTGTATTACATCTACTGGTCTGCATACTCGAAAAGTTACAGAAAATATGCTTTCCAGCAGGGTTCTTTGTACTGCTTTTGTAAGATCCAGTTTTCTTTTGACTGCTCAGCCACTCCTACAAAGGTGGATACAGGTTCAAACCATGCTGGAGTTCACATTTTCTTAATTTTCTCAAAAAAACCGTTTGAAGTATTAAAAAAATATCATTTTAAAAATAAATCCATTAATTCTTTAGATTTATATATATTTTTGGTGCACGGCTGAGTGATTAGAACATCCATTTTCTAATCATGAGACCTGGGCTAGAATCTCACCATGTTCAATTTGTCAGGAAGGTGACTGGAGAGGCGATCCCAGCTTGCAGAAAGTGCCAGAAAACCATACCACAAGTTGACCCAAGTCTTGCAACTGAAATTGAGTAGACATTTTTTTTTTTTTTTAACATTTTCCTTTTAACCCCCTTTTTCTCTGCCAGTGATGGTAACAGGTGAAAAAGAAATTGTAAGAATAGAAAATATATGCTTTTGAGAATTGTTTATACTTATAGCAATTCAACCTGAATTTTATTTTTCATTTACAATCAGGCTGCTTTGTTGATGTTACATGTGTAACTCATTATAACACTTAACAAATTCAATAATATCTTTCTCTAACTTCCAAATGTTGGCAGTCAAGGCTCTCCACAACTTCCTGTCTTTTATTGCTCAAAGTAATTCTTGCTCCTTCACAACCCATCTTTGTCATTATGCTACTTGTTCTGCCATTCATTTACTCAATATTATCAAGTAGGTTATTCACTGATTTTTCTCTGTTTGTCTTGTTTTCAACATGTCCCCTAAGTGTCAAATTCTTTAAGCCTTTTTGCTTCATTATCTTTTTTTTAATTATTTCATCCCAAGCAAGGCAATAAAGCTGCTAAGATGCAAGAGGTTACTGAGTATGAAAATGTAAGAAAAACATTATTAAAGAGCAAAAACAATAAAAGAACAGGAATTAAGAAGACAGAAGATAATGATTAACATTGCATTTAAATTTTTTAACATCAAACTTTACTGGAAAGTAAGAAGTCAAAAGAGGGTTCCACAAGGAAGAAGTGCAAGAAAAGAAGCTGTTAGCATAGAACTTACGGTTACATCTAGCCATTTTAATTGTAAAATGATGAGACCTTGCCACCAGTCTAGTATTGCACCTAATACATAAAGTTTATCTACCATAGAAGAAAGTTTATTAGAACAATTGTGATGAAAATATTTATAGAAAAGGCACAGGGAAGCTAGTTCTTCTATGAATTTTACCAAGGATCTCTAAATATATAGCAAGAGAACCAGACCATATGTGGTAGCAATATTTAAAGCATGGATAAGTGTAAGATAGATTTGGGTGAGAAAAATTGTCTAGCATGATACATTAAAATGACTTTTCTCACAGTAGACTTAGCAACAGATTCAATATGATCTTCCCACATCACATCAATGGAAAAAATTATCCTGAGAAGGTGCAATGAATTAGTCTCTTGGAGGTTAGAATCATTCATGCTGATGGAAGGTAGAAAAGGTTCTCTCAGACAATAGAGAGCAGTTTTGTTTTGGAAGTGTTAAAATTAACAAGCCATTCCTTGTCCCAATTGATAAGGGAATGTAGGTAATATTTTATATCAGCTGCAATTTGGCCTTATGGAACCGATCAGACTTACTATTAAGACAGAAAGTAGTTCTGTCATCAGCATAGATACAAAGTTCTCCCAAGAAATTTCAGCTATTCTTTTTTTGATTGTTTGGTATAAGTAGGTTCTTTGTGGTTTTATTCTTAAAACTTCCTTGTTTCTTATATACCCTGTTCAAAGTGTCCTCAGCATTCATTGGTAAAAGCCTATCTCTGCCACAAGTCTTTCCTTCATCTGTGAAGAACTTGTTCAGTGTTCACTGCCATATAAAAAAAAATAGACATTGAATATCAATCCAGCACTCATTTTGTTGTTTCTAAATACTTTTTTGGCCCTTTAATAGTTTGCTCGGTTTCTGAAAAGCATCTTTCACTATTCTTGTATGTACTCTCCAGGTATTTCAGCAACTACTTGATTTTTACATCCCTAATATGTAACTCACACTTTTGGTTGTTCATTTTGCTGACAATTATGGATTCAATCTGGTTTACAGTTAATGGTGACATCCTTCTTCTTGCTTTTATTAACTACTTTTTCTAATAGTTTTCTTTTCAGTTTTCCTTTTGAATGTGTCATTAGCACAGTGTTTGCATATTGTATGTTGTTAAGGTTATATCTAATGATAATAATTCTTCTTAGAATCATCAAATAAATCTGATGAGAAGGTACATCTTTGTTGTACTTTTCTCTTTTTGGGTATTCACTCATACCCTATCTGCATACAAACTGTTTGTTCCCAATACAGTTTACAGAATGTCTGAATATCTTTTCTGTGTAGTTTTCCTTACATTTTAAGGATTTCATGCACTTTATTGAAAGCCTTTGTGAAACCTTGGGAACCAAGGCATAGATCTGTTTGTACTTGTAATCATGAAGATTGCATTTTTCTTTTTGTTCCAGTGTCTTGAACAAAGCCACATTGTTCTTGTCCTATTTCCAATCTAATTCTTCTATCAGTTCTATTTATTAGAATTCTAATTATTAATTATGTGGATCATCAAATTGATTGTTCAGTAGAGTTTATCTTTATTTGCTCCAGTTTTCTTTGGCATGACTATAAAGACTAATTTACTGAGCTCCTCTGGTATTTTGCAGCTGTTTTATATTTTGTCCATCACTGGTAATTTTATCAATTACAAAATTGTCCTCCACCCTTGATCTGGGCAATGATAGCTCTCCACTACCTCCTATCCCTCATAGCACTTAGCAGCATTTCTCCTTTTGCCCCACTTTTACCACCCATTCACTCAAGCTTGTAAGGGGATGGTAGCAGGTTACCTACCTATCTGTCTTGCCCTCAGTATTCCCTGTGTGAGTTAAGTCTCCTTCCTCATTATGTGTCCAAGGAATTTCAGCTATCTCTTAAATTACTTCCCAGATATTTAAACTTTTGTACTTATTTGATTTTGACATCTCCAAAAATGTTCACATTTTGGGCTTTTTCTCTTGCTGACAACCATGCTTTCTGTTTTCATACATTTGATGGCTAATCCTTTATTTTTTGCTTTCCTTTACTACCTTATTTAGGAGGTCTTGTCGTTTTCTTTTACAGACTGCATATCTTATATTAAGATTGTGTTCCCGCAATAATAAATCTCAGTAGGGTCTCCAGCTCCATAAGATAGTCTCGCCATAGAGTTTGAACAGATCTGGAGAGAAGACACATCTGTTTTCCTAACAGTCCAAATATGCTTTGGTGTAATCTATAATAAAACATAAGTATACATCCTTCTTCATTTGTATTACTCTCTTCAATATCATTCTAATCATAAATATTGCATTTCTTGTTCCAGTGTCCTTGACAAAGCTACACTATTCTTGTTCTGTTTCCAGTCTAATTCTGCATCATGCTCTATTTATCAAGATTTGGATCATTAGTTTGGTTATATGGCTCATTAAGCTGATTGTCTGATGGAGCTCACATTCATTTGCACCTGTTTTCTTAGGTACTGCTATGAAGATGAATCTGCTGAGGACCTCCAGTATGTTGCCACTGTCATATTTTTTGTTTATCACTTCTGTGATTTTGATGCCCAAATTGTCCCAGGCTGTGAGCATCTCGATTGCAATCCCATCTGATTCTGCTGCTTTGTTTCTATTTGTCTTGTCCATATTTGGAATATTTTTTTTTCTGTTATGAGTGTTCCTTCCTTTGATTTTTATACACTCTGTTGAGGAGCACACTTTTTGTTCAGTTAATTCTTTTATTCTGTTGTGCTTACTTGCTTTAACTGTGTGGCTCATCCTTTTTATTTCCAACCAATTTTTACTGAGCCATTCCTCTTTAGCCTGCCTGCATTTGTTTCTAATTTCTGTGTTTAGTGTTTTGCACTATTTTCCATTCCTTGGCATTGTTTGTTGACACTTTTTCATCTTTATAATTTCACCTGTCATTCACTTTCTTTTCTTGCCTTGTTTTTCTTGAAATGATCTCATTTGCCAATGTCACTACTGTTTTTCTCAACATGTTCCACTTTGAATTTGTATTCTCACTCAAGTTATATTTGTTTTTGACTCTGTACACATTTCCTTGCAAATTGGATTGTTCGAGAGTCTGTTGTACTGCAGTTTAGGCATTGCTTCAGTCAGCTTTAGTTTCCATAATTTTATTCTGACATAGTTTTGATGATAGTTATATAATCACTATGTTTCTTTGTGCCTCCTGTCTCAAAGTGTTAAAATCTTGTTTGATCCTGTTGCTTTGTTACCTCTTCATTTTGTCCAGTTCAGACCTAACCTTAGAGTTTAGTATTACAAGTCCTTCC